TTATTACTAAGGACAGATTCAGTCTGCAACATTTTCATTCTAAACAAGTCGAAGATAACGATAAAAATATGTTAAGCACACGTAATTTTTAAAGAATATTTATTTAAAATAAAATAAATTATATCCAAGATTACAATACTTTTTACTATTTATAATAAAAGTTTATTTAAAAAGAAAAAGAATAAATTACAAAGTGGCCCGAAAATTAATTAACCATCCTAAATTGCTGTCTTATTTAACTATTTAATGACTTTTAAACCCTGTTAGATGACTTTTGAGTTAGTTTTTATTATTTATTTATTCATTTCATAACCGAATAGAGAAACAATACAAAGGTAAAAGGCAAGACAGATTTCAATTAATTTCCTCCAAGTCTCTCTATCTTATACAAAAATGAAAATTTTGGATGGAGATTTGATTCTTCTCTGTTATTTAGGGGATATTTTTTCAAAATTGAATAGAGGAACACACAATTTTCTTGTGTTCTTCTAACTGAAGGTTTAATGGTGTCTTGGGAATACAGTAAAACTGGTTTTTCTCTATTCTGTGTCCATCAATTGGTGAGAATAGGGAGAATAATTTTAAATGGTCATTCTGAAAGTGTCTTGGAATGACCAAGAAACCTATTGTTTATCGAGTAAATCTGTGTATTGAGACTGATGTTCTTTTATGGACCTGTTATCAAATATTTTATATCTCTAAAAACACATCTTTAATTAATTTGTAAAATATTTGAGAAAATTATTATTATTTTTTCTATTAATTTTCCATTTGGATGTTGTAACGGATGGTACATTTTATCCACTTCGTATTCTTTGAATAAGTTTTAAATCAAATATAATAATTAGAAATTACATTAATTATAAAGTAAAAATTAATTTTAAAAAAGTAGTTTTAAAATATAATTTTTTTAGGAAGTTAATTATAAAATCTGAAGGATGTCGTTTGTTATTTCGAGCATCTTAACTACCGAAACGATAAAAATTCGATGAACAAAACTTTAAAATATAATGTATTAATTCGAATAATCAAATTTT